ACTGAGCTCTCCTTCAATATGGCCACTATTATAAGCATGTACAAGATTCCTCAGGTGGGTGTTTTTTTAGGATAGTACTGAAATTGTGTGAGATATGAGCATCCAAAATGCTAAGTAAAGGGTTAATACTCACAAGGGCTGCAGCATTCTAAGAAAGAATCTTGTGAGGTCATATACCTTGTGCATGAGGCAGTTGTGTAAGTTGGTACAGTTATGTCAATAACAGTCTTTTTGAGTTAGAGACACTGAGCAGTAGGCCTGTTCAGTTCTGCTGCAGTCAGCCTCAAAGTTTGTTGGTCTGTATGAGTTTTAGTCTTAGTGATAAGCGGAGAGGGGGCTTGGAGGGGCATTTCTCCCTCTCTGCTGCTTGAGCTCCTGCACTTCTTTGGAGAAGAATATTAGACAAACCCTATGACTACGGAGACACTACGGAGAAAGTTGCGCGCGGGCCAGGCGAGCACAACCCTCCTGGCCGCGGGGAGGAGTCGCGAGGAGAGGCTGCGATCCTCAGCTGCAGCAGCAGCGCGCACAGTCCTCGTTCAGGTCCCCCGGGGATCCCAGAGCAGCTCCCTTTCTCTGCGCCCTAAAGCTGCGCCACCTGCCGCCGCGGCCGCGGCTCCTGCTGGGACCAGACCATTGCCCTCTAGGTCCTGATCCACTCCATGGCAGGATGGCCTCGTTGGGGGCCCCGGGGACCCGCATGACATCCACAGTCAGCATAAACATCTCCACCCCGAGCTTCTACAGCCCTCAGAAGAAATTTGCACCCGTTGTTGCCCCTAAGCCCAAAGTGAACCCCTTCAAGGCTGGCGGACCGGCTCCGGAAAATGCTTCTGAGCAGACGTTTCCGCCCCCTCCGCCGGGGGCTTGTGCCCAGATCGGGAAAGTGGGGGAGATCCCGGCAGCTGTGACTCTTTCCCTCTGTGAAGAACTTCCACCCCCTCCGCCTCCCCCTCCTGGGGAAGAGATGGTTGTCTCCTCAAACAGCGCCTTCCCTCCCCCGCCTCCCCCATTTGAGGAGCCGTTTCCCCCAGCGCCAGAAGACGTCTTCCCTTCGCCTCCTCCTCCAATGCTGGAGGAGGAACCGGTGGCTTTGAGTGGGCTACCTGCCCCCCAGGGGCAAGCCCGTGGAAAGATGAGCAGCATTGATTTGGAGATTGATACTCTGTCTTCAATGCTGGATGACATGGAGAAGAATGACCCCTTCAAACCGCGGGTATCTCCAGGTTCCATGGCTCACGTAGGCCTGGCTTCTGGACCCAAAGCTTCCCCAGAAACCATTGCTCCACCTAAGGATGTCTCAGCTCCCGTTTCCTTCCCTTCCAACGCTGCCTCCAGCCCCAGTGCAGGCTACGCCCCCAAAGCGCCGAGAGAAACGGCTTCTGTTCCTCCACCGTGGGTGAAGCAGAGTAGAGACTCGCCATCGACACAGCTTCCAGGACCGCCGGCTCCTCCTCCTCCTCCTCCAGCTCCGTCAGCCCCCAAATACACTCCACCCCCCGTTGCCGTGGCCCCCAGATTTGTACCCAAAGCAGCTGCAGGGATCCCGTCTGGCTTCCCGCGCCAGGCGGCCACTGCCCCTCCGCAGCCTCGCTTCCCACCGGCTTCTGGCGCAGGGCCAGCCCCGAGGCCACAGCCGCCTGCTTTCACCTATGCGCAACAGCGAGAAAAGCCCCAGGTTCAGGAGAAGCCACGTCCCGTTGGACAACTGCCTGCCCCGCGAGACGTGCGTAACCCAGTGCCCTTTGCGAACACTGGATCAGACCCTCCCAGGGGCAACTCTGTCCTGACCATGAAAGAGGTTGAGGAGCTGGAGATGTTGACCCAGAAGCTCATGAAGGACATGGACCAGCCTCCACATGCAGAGGCCACCAATTCTGAGTTGTGCGGCCTGTGCCACAAAGCCCTGTCGCGGACGCAGCCGGCTGTCCGCGCCCTAGACAAGCTCTTCCATGTGGAATGCTTCACCTGCTTCAAGTGTGAGAAGCAGCTGCAAGGACAGCAGCTCTACAACGTGGACGAAAAGCCCTTCTGCGAGGATTGCTCTGCGGGCACCCTGGAGAAGTGTTGTGTGTGCAAGCAAACGATCACAGACAGGATGCTGCGAGCCACGGGCAATTCCTACCACCCCCAGTGCTTCACCTGTGTGGTGTGCCACAAAGCCCTCGAGGGAGCCTCCTTCATTGTGGACAAAGCCAACCAGCCACATTGCGTGGACGACTATCACAGAAAATATGCCCCGCGCTGCTCTGTGTGTGCTGAGCCCATCATGCCAGAGCCCGGAAAGGATGAGACCGTCCGCGTGGTAGCCCTGGAGAAGAACTTCCACATGAAATGTTACCGCTGTGAGGATTGTGGGAAGCCCCTTTCCATCGAAGCAGATGACAATGGATGTTTCCCCCTGGACGGGCACGTGCTGTGTAGAAAATGTCACACCACACGGGCCAAAGCTGCGGTCTAAGGACCTTGGATCAGGATACGCCCTTGATGTGCTTCCCCGTCCCCACCCAGCCCAGTCAGTGGGCCTGATTTTCCTCTGTGCTGTTTCTGGCCATTCCTCTCCCCCCTCCCCTCAAAACCCACAATGCATTTTTACTTAGAAAGAGTCTGTCTGGCAATATCTCTTTCCACCCAAGGGCTCTTCCCACTGTGTTTTCTTTTTCTTTTTAACCTGCCCCTTCTAAGACTGGGTGTTCCTTAACTCCTCGCCTAGTCTGGCCACGGTATATTATTCTAGACACTGCAGAAAGTGACGTGGAATTGCTATAAGCCCTGCAGTCCTTTTACTTACTAAATAATAAAGTAATCTTAGAGGAAAAGTCTGGATCCTTCCAACCTGCTACGTCCCCTGACCCTGCAAAATGCTGTCCTCTGTTCAGGTATGGAACACGACCCAACTAATGGGACTATTTTTTTAAACCCTTACTTTTGGCGATGGACAGAGTCATCGCTCTACAGGATGATGATATAAACGAATCTCCTTCTTCTGTACTGGACTTGTGTGCCTGAATGGTTCTCCTTGCCAGCAAGAAGTTTATGGACCAGTTCCCCCCACCCCCAAGCCCACAGAGTTACGGTGGCCCCAGTTATTTTTTACCTCTCTGGTGCTTTGGCCTAGCAAGAAAAAAAAAATAGTAGTAGTAGTAGCAGTAGTAGTAGTAATTAAATTTGTATACTGCCCTTCATCTGAAGATACTATCATTATTTTCCCCTAGTAAATGAAATATTCATTTAACCCAAAGTAGTGGCTGTGGACAAAAGTAATCCATATTAGCAATGCATACCATTAATCCACACATTTTCTGTGCTTTTCGTATCATGTGTTTGCTTTTAGTTCACCTATAATTGTCTTGACTCAAGGGTGACTGAAAGAAGGCAGTACCATTCCCTGTACCAGATGGTCCCTAATGATGTCCATGAGTACAATGGATTGGTCAAGTTACTTTTGCATTTCAAATGGACATGGATTGGTCTCTTTACTATGAAATACATTACAGGAGAAATTTTATTGGAAGCATTAGTTCCCCAGCTTACCCTGAATTACATCTGTGTTGATTTTATACATAGGATATGGCCATTGGCTTATGCTGAAGGAATGACGGATTTGCTCCGTAGTGAATTTAATAAAATTTCTATTGTCATGACAAGCAAAGCCAATGTTTTTGTGGTCTATGGTAGTTCCATTTTGATGGACATTTTGATTGGGTATCTTCATATGGCACAACTTTCTCTAGGTAAAGTATGGCTTGTGACAAGTCATTGGGATTTCAAAACCACCAATGAAAGGAGGTGGAATATGCACCATTTACAGGGTGCCTTATCTGTATCTATACACTCAAATGAACCCCGGGGATTCAGGACATTTCTTCAGAGTCTAAATCCTTTTGAGGAAAAACAAAATGATTTGATCAAGGATTTCTGGGAAAAGACCTTCAAGTGCTCATTGAAAAATAATAATGTGGGTGAAGAGCCTAAGAAACGTTGCACTGAGGAGGAGAAATTGGAGAGTCTTCCATTACAAATCTTTGAAATGAGCATGACTGGCAGCAGCTATGCTGTGTACAATGTTCCTCACGCAGTGGTACATGGTCTACATGCTATGTATCAATCTAGATTCAAACCCAAATCACAGGTGGCTAGAGTGGATTTGCAGAATCTGCAGCCATGGAAGGTAATTTTACCCACAGCACAGTATTTTCTCATTTTGGGTGGCCTAAAATACCATATTATTCCATAGCTGTGTAAAAAAAAATTAAAATCTCATGTACATAAACAGATCTTACATTCAAGGCTTTTTCTTTCCCTGTTTGCTGTGTTATACATAGCACTTTCACTAATAAATCATTCACTTTTATGTCATACCTCCTACATGAGCAAATTTTGGTCAGGTTGTCTTCCCCTACTGACCTCCCTGATAGACCCTATGTAGAGGTTGACTCTACAATTCTGCATTCTTCAGGGCTGCTGATCACATCTTCACTGCTGGCTAATATACCACGAACACTTTTTTAAAGAAAGAAACAGGAGGAATTTTTTACCTTTTCATCTTTTATTAGAAAGCATCCTCATCATGTTGAGTTTTTGCCTGCACTTGAAAATTATTCATTTGTCTCTTCCCAAGCTCCTTTGGCTTGGTAGAAATGTGTCTTGCTGCCACACCATCTTCATTGATACATTTGGATACTTTTGAACCTATTGTTGTTTTGTGTGATGGATCCTAAGAGGGATAAACAGGTTTTTGACCCTTCTACTGAATCAGGTGGAGGCTGAGCCACCTCCAAGTATGCAGAAGTGATGACTTCTAATGAGTTAGCTGCCAGAGGCCAAGCTGCCTACCTGAAAAATAACTATTACTCAAGTGTGACAGGATGTTCCTCAAAGACCAAATTTCTTATGCTATGCTGATGATCTGCAGTGGGTGTGGTCACTGTTTTTAAACAAAACTACCAATATTATGTAGTATTTTACATATTAACTTTAGAATGATTTTTAAAGGTGAAACTAAATAAAATGTCTGGACTGGCATTTTACCCCTTTCTATATTTTTTGAATGTAGCTCCATCCCTTTCTAAGAAATCTCACATTCAACAACAGTGCTGGAGAGACAATACAGCTTAACGAACATGGAGAGATAATGGCAGGATTTGATGTGACCAACTGGGTAATGTTTCCAAATCAATCTTTTGGTAGAGTCAAAATTGGAAGGCTGGATTTTCAAGCTCCTCCAGGCAAGGAATTAACCATTCAGGATGAACGCATTGTGTGGCATAGAACATTTAACCAGGTGAGCTAGGAAGACTTTAAAATCTTTTTCTCCCAAATAACTGGAAATGGATTGTTCAAATGTGCCTGACGACTTTTTTTCCATATTGTTACATACACTCCAATTAGTGCACCCCATTCTGCAATCAGCAAAAGGTTTCAAGACTTCCAACATATACCCTGGGTTGGTTTCATTTAAAGAGGGTCACTGGAGACTCAGGAAATGCTTGTAATGTAAGGCTAATCTGTACATATATTCACAGTAATCATAAGAAGTTGGTTCATAGCCCTAATTTCAGGTGTATAGTATTTCCATTGATTTCCCATCCTTCCTCCCATGATCCCAGGGATGGTCACAGATAAAACATCAGCAAATCAATCAAATGCAACATGCATAATACAGAAATAAAACAAGAACTAATAAATTAATTGTACACAGAAAATAAAAAAGGCAAAGAATAAATGAATAGCAGCTGGACTTCTGAAAGAAGAGTCTTTTCAACTGCCAGCAAAAGAGTAAATGGTTGGCAGCAGAACTACTTAGGAAGGGGGATTGAAAAAAAAGGAACATTAAAACTAAGATGGCTCTGGAGTATGCTGCTTACTCACAGTCTTCAGGTAGTAATTTTATAAAATACGAGCAGGAAAATAGATGGGGATATCATTCCCCATCAAATCTCCCCATGCCCTAATGGGATTAGAACCACCGATATCACAGCATTGTATTGTCCTACTAGGGAATTCAAGTCTATGTCTATTTCAGAATCAGTTTCAGGAGTGCTAATCATTTGATCACTTTCACAAACCCTTCAAAGTCATCTCTGGGCATCAGATGAAAACCAGCACCTTTATCATGGGCCAGCAGCAAATTAGTAGCCAGTGCCATTCTCTCAGCAGTGGTGTGACTGGTTGCCAATACTGTGTCCCAGTAAGCAGTCAAGCAATTTGCATCAGCTTCAGCCTCTTGACCAGCCTCAAGGGATTCCCCACATAGACACCGGGTTCTACAGCCCCCCTTGTTTCAGATGTTACAGAGAAGTAGAGTCCATTACGTCAACTCACAAGGATACCATGGTCAATGGCATCAAAAGCCATTGACATGTCCCCTGTCCTTCTCCTCATAACCAGGCATGAAACCAGACTGGCATGGGTCAGCCATGATACACTGGAAAAGAGATATAGGACATAGTATAGAATTAAGTGTGTTGGAAAAATTGTTGAGTAAGGATTTAAAATTTACAGATTGTGATACGTTGAAAGAAAACTTCATGAAGATTATATATAGTTGGTATTTTATGCTGAGTAAATTAGCGAAAATGTATAAATCAGACTCAAGTACCTGTTGCATGTGTCAAGAAAGGGAGGGTACTTTTTATCATATGTGGTGGACATGTAGAATTCCGCAGGAATTCTGGGAGGTGATATAGAAGAGTGACTAGTGGGGTGCCACAGGGTTCTGTCTTGGGCCCGGTCTTATTCAACATCTTTATCAACGACTTGGATGATGGACTCAAGGGCATCCTGATCAAATTTGCAGATGACACCAAACTGGGAGGGGTGGCTAACACCCCAGAGGACATGATCACACTTAAAAATGACCTTGACAGATTAGAGAACTGGGCCAAAACAAACAAGATGAATTTTAACAGGGAGAAATGTAAAGTATTGCACTTGGGCAAAAAAAATGAGAGGCACAAATACAAGATGGGTGACACCTGGCTTGGTTGACCACAAACTTGACATGAGCCAGCAGTGTGACGCGGCAGCTAAAAAAGCCAATGCAATTCTGGGCTGCATCAATAGGAGTATAGCATCTAGATCAAGGGAAGTAATAGTGCCACTGTATTCTGCTCTGGTCAGACCTCACCTGGAGTACTGTGTCCAGTTCTGGGCACCACAGTTTAAGAAGGACACTGACAAACTGGAACGTGTCCAGAGGAGGGCAACCAAAATGGTCAAAGGCCTGGAAACGATGCCTTATGAGGAACGGCTAAGGGAGCTGGGCATGTTTAGCCTGGAGAAGAGGAGGTTAAGGGGTGATATGATAGCCATGTTCAAATATATAAAAGGATGTCACATAGAGGAGGGAGAAAGGTTGTTTTCTGCTGCTCCAGAGAAGCGGACACAGAGCAATGGATCCAAACTACAAGAAAGAAGATTCCACCTAAACATTAGGAAGAACTTCCTGACAGTAAGAGCTGTTCGACAGTGGAATTTGCTGCCAAGGAGTGTGGTGGATTCTCCTTCTTTGGAGGTCTTTAAGCAGAGGCTTGACAACCATATGTCAGGAGTGCTCTGATGGTGTTTCCTGCTTGGCAGGGGGTTGGACTCGATGGCCCTTGTGGTCTCTTCCAACTCTATGATTCTATGATTCTATGATATAATGAAATAAAAAAATGTTATAAAAAGACCAGAAACCTTCTTACAAGGTATATTAGGAACAGATGCCCCCGCAGAACTGCAGAATTTCTTTAAACAATTACAGCAGTCTGAGGTATATGCTCAGAAATAGAAAAAGAGAATGAACCCAACAAAGGAGGAGTGGCAGATACAGTTATTGGAATATGCAGTATTGGCAAATTTAACCAACAGAATAAGAAATCAGCAAGATGGCGTGTTTAAGAAAAAGTGGGAATTGTTTACAGAATACCTCAAGAATTATGCAAAGCAAGATAAAGTGTTAGCAGGATTAATCTAAATGTAGCAGTTCAAATTATTAAAATTATAGTGGGGGGAAAATTGAATAAAAGGGGAATTAGAATATGTAGCCTTAAGTGATAAATAAATGGAACCATGGAAGGGGGAAAGATAAGTCTATTATTCAATGTGTGGTGATATTCAATGAAATGCGAATTGTAATGAAAATGATAAAATTGGACATTTATTTATAGATTCTTCCCACTTCTCTGTGTAATGACAAGTGCCGTCCTGGATACAGTAGGAAAAAGAAGGAAGGGGAGCCTTTTTGCTGTTATGAATGTGTTCCTTGTCCAGAAGGGAAGATTTCTAACCAGACAGGTAGGAGATATGGTTGTCACAGAGGTCAATGTGCCTTTGAAACTTAAGGTAGGTGTTTTCAGTACATTCCTGTACTACTAATTATTTTAACAGTATCATAACTGTTTTTAATGTACAGTTTTAAAATGTTGCATCTGTTGGGATCTGTTGGTAAAGGGTGAGTAATAAATTGAATATTAGTAAGTGCAGAATGAATTCCACAATTATCCAGCAAGACTGACGTGACTATATTTGGTATTCAGCTAATTTATTGTGCGTGCAGAACAAAGCCTGCGCATGCAATGGAACCTCCCTGCTGTTTCCCCCCTGCAGCACCTAAACCCATTCTGGGTTTCCCACAAGGCTCCAGGGAATAATTATGGAGTTCATGGAGAACAGGGGGAGGACAAGGGGGGAAGTGCCAGTGCATGCGTGGACCTCATTCACCATGTGCTTGGTCCACAGAGTGCTACATTGAAACCCACCATATGGCTTTAAAGGGGGGAAATAATCATGCTTAAAATGTGCATTATCTTGTTTGAATGCTGAAAATATTCCATATGCAGTACACTTTCCACCAACAATGTAAACAATTCCTTTTCAGAAGTAGCCCAGTCCAAATTTGAGACATGTAGTAAAACAAGTTACTATTTAGACTTTCATGTTCTGACATCAGCAAGGGCCTTAGAAGGACACCAAATGGGTTTTATTATATATCTTTTGCTAACTATTGGTATTGGAAGTAACATCTCTGATTCTATATTTCACTACAGAACTTTATTGTGAGACACATCACATCAAGGGGAAGCTGAATTTTCAAAAATTCATCTTCATTATGATTTTCCAATGATATATATAACAAAAAAATTCAATACACATTACTTATTCCATTTTTATTAACCCCACCATAGAAAAATAGATATAAAGCATAACAAAAACAAAAAAAGATATGTATATTGAGAAACTGAAATTACATGATCTGAGAACCTATTCATCCCAATTTATTTCTTCAAATAAGTAAAACATGTGAATCAATAGAATGATTTTTTAATTTTTTTATTACTTATACCCCGTCCATCTGACTGGTTTGCCCCAGCCACTCTGGGTGGCTTCCAACAGATGTCTTTGAAAAGTTGCATAGTTGTTTAACTGTTTGACATCTGATGAGATGACATTCCACTGGGCAGGTGTCACCACCAAGAAAGCCCTCTGCCTGGTTCCCTATAACTTCATTACTAGCAGTGAGGTAGCCACCAGAAGCACTGGCAGAGGAAGAGGAGTGCGGGTGGAATGCATAGCCCCCAGCAGCGCGATCCCAGTAAGTGCCATCGCAGCTGCCCCCCACCCGCGCTGGGTGCCACGCCCCTGCATGCAGCATACCCCGCCCCAGGATGCGCACCAGCCCTGCCCCCACCTGCTCTCCGCCCCCTGGTGCTGGAGCATGAAGCTCCGTGACTAACCAGAAGGCCCTCAGAGCTGGACATTATTGTCTGGGATGAAGAGGGCCTGAATATATACATATTCCTATATACAGGGCCTGAATTGTGCTCAGAAATGTACTGGGAGCCAACGTAGATCTTTAAGACCAGTGTTATAACATCATGCTCATTAGGATGGAAGGGGGCTGTGGCTTTTTAAATTAGTTTTATGCTGTCTGCTAGTTCTTCTAGGGCTGGCATAGCTTCCCCCCCAGTTCTGGACTAGGATCTGTGGAATAATGTGCCATATACCTCAAAACACCTTTTTTGCTGATATCTCACATCTGATGGAACTGTTCTTTGCTTAAAAGCAAAGATGGATAGTCTTCGCATGTGAGGAGTTTGCAGATGAATGACAACCCTTGGTTAATGAACTTGGAAATGAGGAGGGATTTAATGCAGCTCCAACAATGACTATAAAAGTATCCAATTTTTAAAAATTTTATTCTAGATATGGATGCCTGCACCGAATGTCCAGAAGATCAATACTCAAACTTCCACCAGAACCAATGCATTCCCAAAGTCATAACCTACCTTTCATACGAGGAACCTTTAGGAATGACTTTAGCTTTGTCTGCTCTTGCTCTTGCTCTGATCACAGCTTTGGTGATAATAATATTTGTGAAGCACCAGAACACACCCATCGTCAAAGCCAACAACCGAAGTGTCACCTACATTCTTCTCGTATCCCTCCTACTGTGTTTCCTCTGCTGCTTGCTTTTTATTGGAAAACCTGGACAGCTAATTTGCTTACTCCGACAAACAACTTTTGGCATCATATTTTCTCTTGCTCTTTCCAGCTTGTTAGCTAAAACCATCACTGTAGTCCTGGCATTTATGGCTACTAGACCAGGATCTAGAATGAGAAAATGGATGGGGAAAAAGCTGACAAACTCTATCATGTTTTCAGGCTACTTTATTCAAGCAGGAATTTGTACCCTTTGGTTGAGTATTTCTCCCCCATACGCAGATACAGACATGTACTCCGTCAATGGGGAAATTATAGCAGAGTGTAACGAAGGCTCAACTGTCATGTTTTATAGTGTCTTGGGCTATATGTTCTTCCTGGCCCTTGTCAGCTTCACGGTGGCATACCTTGCTAGGAGGTTGCCAGACACTTTCAATGAAGCCAAATTTATCACTTTCAGCATGATGGTGTTCTGCAGTGTTTGGTTGTCCTTTGTTCCTGCCTACCTGAGCACCAAAGGAAAATACATGGTGGCTGTGGAGATCTTCTCTATCTTATCCTCCAGTGCTGGGTTACTGCTTTGCATCTTTTCCCCTAAATGCTATGTTCTTTTGTTCAGGGCTGACTTGAATAACAGGGAGCAACTAAAATCAGGAAAAGACTAAGTTATATGAGAATTAAAAACAGATAGCACTTCCCTCCACCACCCCCCTTTCAAGTATGCTATCTGAATGGTAGAATGAATAGTATAATGACCGACACATACAGTACTTCACAGAGGTTAAATATACCGAGAAACATCCTTTCTAAAGCTTTCTTGACCTGAAAATTAATCTCAACAATCTTAATGGACCTTTTCTTTGACATTTTAGTGAAATTATTTTCAAGTCAAGATCCACAAAGTGAAGTTGCATATTTATTCTCTTCATATTCATCAGCCAAACAGAATTATTGACTGAAATTTCCATGAATAAATATAAAATAGGGACTGAAGGCAATAATATTATTGTTATTTTCTCTCTGTTGGAAAAACGCTACTGAAAATGGTGGTTCATGGACCAGTGCCTGTATGTAAGCAATTGGCTGCTGGTCTGTGGTGATTTCCCAGGAATTCCAGCAGTAGGAAGGGAAGGGAAAGGGCAGGCAGGACAAGGAGGAGGAGGAAGCGAAGAGGTGGAGGAAGGAAACTACCTGCCTATCTGCAGGGCCATAGCTAGGGGGTGGCAAGGTGGGCCACCACCATGGTGCATAGGAATAGTTGACTTAAAAATATATATAAATATTGATTATTGCCTCATAAGAAATGGTGTTAAATAGAGGGTGAATTGAATGGGTGGAGGGGTTGGGGTTGGAGGAAAGGTGGAAAGAAGAGCTAATTTGTCCATGGTTAGGGGGCGCAATCTGGACAGTTCTGCCAGGTGCGCAAGATCACCGAGTTACGGCTCTGCCTATCTGCCTATGTCAAGGGGGAGGGGACTGGAGTTGCTGCTGCTGTCAAACCTGAATTGGGAGTAGGAAGACAGGGTCCTTGGAAACACTGAGCCAGGGGAGGGAGGAGAAACCCATAAAGAAGCAAGGGGTGCCTGGTGGCCCCCTCAGGAGTAGTTTAGCAGACTCCCTTACCTGGACCTTGTGTATGGACCTTGTTAAGGTGGCATCTGTACTCTTTAGTTAAGTACTTCCCTTCCATTCCCAGATACAGCCATGCAGTCACTGAATGATTAATTCATATTTGAATGCAATGAGGGTTCAGCTACCGTGTTTAATTGTGTCTTGGGTTATATGTGTTTTCTGTCTGTTGTGAATTTCATTCTGGCTGTCCTAGCCAAAAAGTTACCTGATGGTTTTAATAAGAATAAGTATACAAATAATGCACTATTGTTGTGTCAAGAACATGCTGCAGAATAACCCCACAATAAAACACCAGTCTGGATGGGTCCCTTGTTTCTTTCCATCTATCTACCCCTGCCCAAACATGCTGACCCACGTAGAATATAACTCAGATTAATCAACCTTCTTAAGAGTCAACAGCCACCAACTGTTATTGATGTTTGCTTTTCAATTTATGCAAATTTTTATGGTTGGCAAGTAAAGGTAAAAAAAGTGAAGGACCCCTCGAAGGTTAAGTCCTGTCCAAGGCAACTGTGGGGTTGCGACGCTTATCTTGCTTCAGATCGAGGGAGCCAGCATTTGTCCACAGACACCTTTCCGGGTCTTGTAGCCAGCATGGCTAAACTGCTTCTGGCCAACGGAAACGCTGTTACCTTCCCATTGCAGTGGTACCTATTTATCTACTTGCACTGGCATGCTTTTGAACTGCTAGGTTGGCAGAACCTGGGACAAAGCAACTGGAGATCACCCCGTCACGGGGCCTCAAACTGCCGACCTTCTGATCAGCAAGACCAAGAGGCTCAGTGGTTTAGACCACAGTGATTGTACTAAGAGTTATTATGCAGCGCCAAGTCAGCACCATTACTCTTTTTCATAGACCCAAGAGAAGACAGACAAAGAATGTCCTTTCAATGTTTTATTCACTCTCACATTTGTTAATACACTTATATGTAGTAAATCACTTCAATATATGCATCCTAGTTTCATAATCTAGCACTAGTTGATACACTATTCTTATGCAGCACAAGCTTAAGACTTGTTGACTTGTTATTATTATTATTATTATTGCTGCTATCAAACCTTCTCCAGAGAATTCAGCAGCATTTTTGTGTATGTTTCTTCTAATATACTAATTGCAATGTAATTTCCCCCTAAAAACCTTTTACAAGAAATTTACCTCAATAGAATACATCTGTATGTTATTTTCACCAACACATGTGACTTTATTGATGTATTGAGTGCTTTTGCTTCAGTATCCAGTGTTGTGATGTATCACAGGCCACTGTTTTGTTCATAATGCTAATTAGCATTTATATGAAGCTATTTGTAGAGCTTAGGATGTTTGGGGAAAGCTATTACAGAATCATAGAATTACAAAGTTGGAAGGGCAACAAGGGTCATCTAGTTCAACCCCCTGCACTGCAGGAATCTCAACTAAAGCATCCATGGCAGGTGGCCATCCAGTATTTGCTTAAAAACCTCCAATGAAATCTGAATGCTCTGTGGATGAACTTAACTCTAGCACTGGTTAGATCTGAATCTACCAGGCTATATAACGCTGGCTACTTATTATTCATCAAAGGACAAAATAATATGTCTATGATTCTGGTGGAAAGAAGAAAAAATCTTCTAGCACTTTTGTAATAATAATAATAATAATAATAATAATAATAATAATAATAATAATAAATTTTATTTATATCCCGCCCTCCCCAGCCGAAGCCGGGCTCAGGGCGGCTAACAACAATCAAATAATCAAACAGTCAAATAATCACACATTCTAAAAATATTTCATTATAAAAATTAATTAAAATCAAATTGATGGCAACCGATTAAGCAAAATTCTGTGCAGGTTGCCAGAGGAGGGAGTCAGGCTGCACCCTGACCAAAGGCCTGGTGGAACAACTCTGTCTTGCAGGCCCTGAAAGATGTCAGGTCCCGCAGGGCCCTAGTCTCTTGTGACAGAGCATTCCACCAGATTGGAGCCGCAGCCGAGAAGGCCCTGGCTCTAGTTGAGGCCAGCCTAACCTCTCTGAGGCCTGGGACCTTGAGGATGTTATTATTTGCAGACCGTAGGTTTCTCTGTGGGGCATACCAGGAGAGGCGGTCCCGTAGGTACGAGGGTCCTAGGCCATATAGGGCTTTAGAGGTTAAAACCAGCACCTTAAACCTGACCCTGTACTCCACCGGGAGCCAGTGCAGCTGGTATAGTACCGGATGAATGTGATCTCGCAGCGAAGACCCCATAAGGAGTCTCGCCGTGGCATTCTGCACCCGCTGGAGTTTCTGGGTCAGTCTCAAGGGCAGCCCCACGTAGAGCGAGTTACAATAATCCAGTCTGGAGGTGACCGTTGCATGGATCACGGTGGCTAGGTCAGGGCAAGAGAGATAAGGGGCCAACTGCTTAGCTTGGCGGAGATGAAAAAATGCCGCCTTTGTTATAGCTGTAATCTGCGCCTCCATAGAGAGGGAGGTATCGAAGATTACACCCAAACTCTTAACGGACGGTGCTGGCACTAATTGCACCCCCGCAAGAGATGGGAGTTGCCCCCTCGATCCCATATCGTCCCGCCCCAGCCGGAGGACCTCTGTCTTCGAAGGATTTAACTTCAACCGGCTCTCACGTAACCATCCAGCCACAGCTTCCAGACATCTGGTCAGTGTGTCTGGGGCCGAGTCAGGATGGCCATCCATCAACAGATAGAGTTGGGTGTCATCAGCATACTGATGGCAACCCAGCCCAAAACTCCGGACAAGCTGGGCGAGGGGGCGCATAAAGATGTTAAAAAGCATCGGGGAGAGAATCGCACCCTGAGGCACTCCACACACCAAGGAGTGGCGCGATGACAATTCCCCCCCAAGCGCCACCCTCTGTCCCCGACCAGAGAGAAACGAGCGCAGCCATTGAAGGACTGTGCCCTGGATCCCCACGTCGGCAGAACGCCTTGCCGACGTGTGGATCCAGGGCACAGTCCTTCAATGGCTGCGCTCGTTTCTCTCTGGTCGGGGACAGATCTAGAAGAATCAGCAGCCCTGACCCGCCTTGATCCAGCTGCCTGCGGAGATCATCTGTTAGGGCGACCAGAGCCGTCTCGGTCCCATGACCAGCGCGGAAGCCGGACTGGAATGGATCCAGAGCAGATGTTTCACGGGTCAAGAGGACAGGTGGTGGGCTTTCCAGCTTGGAGGAATCTGTCCACATCGGCTGGAGATATCAGGTCAAAGTGGTCCAATACTGGACCCGAGGACAGTCGAGGGCCTCCAGTTCCTTTATTGTATCCAAATTGGCAGGGAGGTCATGGTGGAGCAACAGGACCTTCTCCGCAAAAAAGCTCGCAAATGCCTCACAGCTGTGTGTCAGATTGTTATTTAAATTTGGCTGTCCTTCAAGGGACGTTAAAGACCGAATTATACTAAATAATTGCGCCGGGCGAGAGCTAGCGGATGCAATGGAGGCCGAGAAGTAAGACTTCTTAGCGGCCTTCACTGCCATCTCATAGGTTTTCATAAAAGCCCTATAAGATGTTCTTGAGGCTCCGTCACGGGCACCCCGCCATACTCGCTCTAGCCGTCTGAGGTCCCGCTTCATTTTCCGAAGCTCCTCGGTAAACCAGGGAGCCCGGTTTCTGCGGGGTCGCAGAGGGTGCTTAGGTGCGATCTCATCGATGGCTGCCAGGAGCTGGGTATTCCAGCCCTCAACAAGCTCAGTCAATGAGTCGCCAGGGGGAGCAAGGTCCCGCAAGGCTTGACGGAATCTATCAGGGTCCATCAGCCTCTGCGGGCGAGTCCAAATCGGCTCGCCACCTAAGCAGGGTGGGGGTGGAAAGTCAACCCTGGCTTTCAGAGCGTAGTGATCAGACCATGGCACCTTCATTGAAGGAGACATGATCACATCTATACCGGCGCCAAAGATCAAATCCAGCGTGTGGCCTGCTTGATGTGTGGGGCCCGAAACAAACTGGGAGAGCCCTAGTGTCGCCATGGAAGACAACAGGTCCAGAGCCTGTGAGGAGGGAGTGGCATCAGCATGGAAGTTGAAGTCTCCCAATACCAATAGGTTAGGGAACTCCAAGGCCCAGCCGGCCACCGCCTCCAGCAGGCCTGACAGGGTGGCTGCTGGTGCGCTAGGTGGCCGGTACACTAGCCAGACAGCCAAGCTCTCCTCGGAGCC